AACCAGGAGGAATGACAGAAACAGCAGGACGGGGGGCGTTATCGCGAGCCTGACTGACCTCCCCTTCTCCTCTGACTGACCTCTCCATCTCCCTACCTCCCCGATTGACTTCTTCCCCTCCCCGTCCAGCATCAAATTCGCATGTGCCCCCATCCTCTTCAACGCCGCCCCCCTTCTCCTTCGCCGCCCCTCCACCTCCACTTCCGCTCTCCGCTGCACCTGGCGCGCCCCCGGGGCGCGGGAGGTGGTCGCGACGCGGGGCCCGATGACATGTCGGACACGGAGCCCGAGGTCAAGCTCGGAGACGTCTCGACCGAGCTGGGAGAGCCGCTCGATGACAGCTTGGAGGAAGGGGGGCCCCTCGATGTCAGCGTGGTGGAGGGAGAGCCCTTCGATGACAGCTTGGAGCCAGGAGCGCCCCTCATGGACAGCTTGGAGCTCGGAGCGCCCATCCTGGACAGCTTGGAGCCCCTCCAGGACAGCGTGGAGCCAGGGGGGCCCCTCAAGGACATCTACGACGATGGGTCCCAGCCAGAGACGTTCATGGGTTCGGCAAGTGCTGCTCCTACGTGGTGGGGCGACGATCTTGGCCCTGCGGTGCTTGGCGACTCGGGCGACGACGAAGCGGATCCGGCATGCGAGACGACGCGGATGCTTGGCATCGCGGGCGGGGAGCTGGACCCCGGGAAGGATCCTGCCGACGTTGCAGCGACTAAGTCGGCCCTGACTGCGCCGACGCCACTTGCCCCAAAGCACGGGCGCAGCATGGCGAGAGAGGCGCGCCACATGATGCTCCCGCCAGTGGATGTCCTGGCGCAGGGCAGGCTGCAGGAGCCGCTGCCGAAGGCGAAAGCGAAGGCGAAGGAGGCGAAGTCTGGCGAGAAGCCGACCAAGACGGCTAATTTCATCAAGGGTGCCAAAGGCCCGTCCAATCTATCGAAGTTGATGCAGAAGCACATTCGGCGCAGGTATTTGACCAAGCAGGCGCCGCATCCCGACGGGGGCGACAAGCCTGGAGAGGCCGTCGGACGGTTCGCCGAGGACGCCGCAGAGGAGTACCAGGAGGACGAGGGCGAAGACGAGCACCAGGAGGACGAGGGCGCCGACGAGTACCAGGAGGACGATGGCGCCAATGAGCACCAGGAGGACGATGGCGCCAATGAGTACCAGGAGGACGAGATGACCTGCCGAGGAATCGAAGAGGACATGGAGTACCATGGAAGGCCTTCGGAGTACGAGCCGATGGGCGCAGACACCCTGCCCTGGGCGCCAGGCGAGAAGGCCGAGCCATGGGTGGCTGAGTCAGAGAAGGCTGGGGAAGCTTAGCGAACAATGGCCGACATCCCCTCGGACATGCCAGATGCGGCAATGCCTCAGGTAGAAAGGGCTGGTCGCCTCTCGTACACGACCAGGGATGACAGCGACTCGTCGGTCGAGGTCCTCTTGCACGGCAAGGCGTTCAAGGTGCAGAAGAACCAGGGCCTGAAGGTCAAGGGCCACGAGTGGTTCTTCGGCTGGGCGAAGATGGGCGGCATCGAGTTGGCGCGGGCGGCCTGCAGCAACGCCATCAACTGGTGTGTGCAGGACTGGTGATCAGACCAGGAGGGCCCCCGTATAGGGCGTCGCTCGGCTGAGCCCCCCCCCCCCCCCTGTTCTTACTTCAAGCCTACCTCCGGCCCCCATCCATCTCACTTCCCTCCGGCCTCCCTTCTCGCTTCCCTTCTCCCTCCCTCCTTCCATCCAACCTCCCTCCCGCCCACCCTCCAGCCTCGCGTCCTCCTTCCCTCCCTCCAGCTGCAGTGCTCTTTCTGTCTTTCTCGCTCTGCGCCTCTCCATTTCCCCTGGGCGCATTAGAAGCATTCCCTGCGCAAAGCAGGGGGAATTGAAATTGAGGGGGCGCGCGGACGCACATGTGTCACGAGGTGCGCGCGCAGGGGAATGCATTGGGCGAGGAAAATCTATTGTTCTCCCCCTCGGCCTGGCCCAGACAGCTTGATGATGAAAGGGGTGGGCGCCCAGGGCGCGCCAGACTTGAGCAGGTCCAGGGGGCGCCCAGGAGGGCATGGAGGGGGGATGGGGGGGATGGCGAACATGAGAAGAGGTGGGCCCCCTCAACCCTGCGCTCCCACGTCCAGGGTGGCAACGCAGATCCGCGATCCTGACCAAGACTACCCTTGGCCCTGGGATCGGCGCGTGCGCCTTCCTGGCCAAGCTAGGGGGCGCTCAAACATGCACCGATCCCGGGCCGAGGATAGGCGTGGCCAGGATCGGCGGGTCAAGTAATAATTTGTTTTAGAGCGTGTCGCGACGCTCGGAAAGAGGAGGACGGGAAGGGGCCTGGAAGGGGGCGAGCCGAGGGCAGAGGAGGGCGATGGGGAGGAGCAGGAGGAGGGGGATGAGGAGGAGCAGGAGGAGCAAGCAAACAGGAGGATGATTGCCCCCCCTCTTTGGGGAATGATCGCTCCCCTCTTTGGGGGATGATTGCCCCCCTCATTGGGGGATGATTGCCCCCCTATTTGGTGGCTTATTAGCGCCCCCGGGGTTTGGTTTCAGTGAAGCCGCAGTGGGCTCGAGCGGCGCCTGATCTCTCTCCTACATTGTGTAACCAGGCTGCCTTCCTAAACGCATCCACTGATTAGAGACGCTTGCCATGGGTAAGACGGCGCCCCTCGAAACCGCCAAGATCCGCATCAAAGGACGTGTAAGTTCAGGAACCCAGCACTCCGAGCGTGGCAGCCTCATCCTCAAATCGCTCATGCTCAACAAGGCTCCAGCCACATTCTTGTTCATCGTGAGCATGTTGCTCTCCGGCCTGGGCGACGTCGACGACCTGGACAGCGTTGAAGCGTTCGCTGGGCACAAGGCCATCACGAATGCATACCGCAATAACAACTACAAGGCTGTGAGCTTGGAGTATAACGACGATGCGCTGTTCCAGAACGTGCTCACGGACGAGGGCTTCGCACATTGGATTGCCCAGTGCTTGCGTATCAAGCTTGGCGGTGCCACCAACGCGGGCATAGCGCGCAGCAGTTGGGCGTCCCTTTGCATGGGGAGCAGCGGCAGACGGCAGTGGAAGCCTTTGGGAAACACTAGGAAATCATAGGTTCGTGATGGAAATTTAAGGGTTTCACGACATGTACTTCTGATACTAATTCTGATTGCGAAACGAGTGTTCTGGTTGTGGGAACAGCCCATGTCGTCGCTGATGCCATTTCATCCTCGCTTCAAATGGTTGATCAAGACGTTCGGGGTGCACCGCCAATTCGCGTGGTTGGGGGCGTATGGAGCGCCTTCGAGAAAGGGCATCTACCTGTGGTCCATGCACCCAGAGGTGGCAGGGCTCTACCGCCCGCTCCCCAATGGATTCAAGGGCTCCTCGGACCTGGTCATAGTGGACAACAATGGCGTTATCGCAGGGGCAATGCAGAAGCTCAAGGAGAGTCAGACTTATCCACCAGCCTTCGGCAGAGCGGTGGCGAACCTGCACATGAAGTACGAGGGCGCCTTCATCGTGCGAGCCAGCGAGGCCCAGGCAGCTGCGCACGCGAATCTGAGGAGCGGATGAATATGATTGAGACTTGAGGGGAGCGGGATGAGGGGCTGTGGGAGGGGAGATGGGGACTGGAGAGAAAGGGCTGAGAGAAGCGAGAGGAGAGAAGAGGGGAAGATGGGGGGCGCAGAGGAGGGGCAGGAGGGAGGAGAGGAGGGATAAGATAATGGCGAGGAGAGATGTCTGATCCCTGAGGCCAAGGTGAAAGCAACACCGATGGCCGAGACGGTCTTCGGACATCTGCATTGGGCCGCAGGTGCCGCGTGCCGCCTACTCTTGCATGCATGAGTCAAATAGTAAGGCCTGCAGCGCCATCGATATATCCCATCTCCAGGGCCCCCCCCCCCTCCCATGACTCAAGCCATGTTAAGAGAGGGTGGCCGGGCAGCTCGAGCGCCGCAATGCAGATCGGCGATCGAAGGTTGTCGAGCTCGAAGCGACGCCTACCAAGAGGTGGGACGATGCCAAGCTCAAACCTGTGTATCAATTTCTTTGCAACTGCAAGTAGTGAACCTGCAAGTGTGTGCAGAATTACTTTAGCCTGTGCATGTGCAGACTCTCTGCGCCCGCGTGCGTATGCGCATGCCTGGGTGCTCTAATTGCACGCTGCGAGCAAGGGGCATGTATGTTGCATGTGATGAGCGTTGCACAGTGATGACAACAAACCATTAACCTGTGGGTAGCGCCAGAGCTCCAGAAAGCGACGTCCAAGCCGATTGAGGTGCCAGGGGCGAGGATGCATGAAAATACCCATGAGAGAGTAAGAGGTTTGAGGCACGGACCCTTCAGAATCCTGGGCCATGGCCAGGGCAACTAAGCCGCCTAAGATGCATGCGCCCCTAAGAGCCCCGGTCCATGCATAAGCTCCCAACAGCCCCTAAGATGCATGAGCCCCTAAGAGCCCCTAAGTCCGTGAGATGCCCCAGCCCCCGGCTCAGAACGTCGATCCGCCGCCCATCTCATGGGGCGTGAACTGTGGGGGCGAGATCCGCCGCCCCACCTCTCGATGGGGGGGTCGACCGCCACCCCGCTGATGAGGTCTAGGCTGTGGGAGTGCCCTCATCACTGAGGGCGTCGTTCAGCCATCCCGCCTCCCCCTCCCAACTCATGCAATCTTATCCCACCCGTCCCAATTCACCCCTGCCTCTCCCCTCCCATGACTCACGGGCTTGAGGAGCATGCGAGAATGCCTCGGATGTGAGAGCCCTACTCGCAGAAGCCGCGTGGCGGGCGTCGTTCCGCTGCCCCCAGGAGAGGTCTCGGCTGCGTGTACCATCCCATCGCCTGCGCGACTTATCGCCTCCTTTTCCATCCCCTTTCCTATCCCCCACTCCCCCGCGTCCCACATCCATATGTTTTTTATCTCCCCCATCCCACCCCTCGCTCCTCGTCCCCCCCACTCCCCCCCGCCCCGCCCCATCCCATCCCATTTCATCCCCTGCCGATCCCACTCAGCTCTTGATTCTGGGCCCCCCCCCTCCCCAAAGCCACCCCACCCCGCCTCATTCTATTATGTGTGCTCTCGGGCTGGGTTCTCGCGCGGCCAGGTACTTATGCGTGCGCGATCAAGAAGTGCCCTCAATCTCGGCGGCAAGGGCCTCGAGAACGACGATCCGCCGGAGAGCTCGCGCTAGGGCAGCGATGCTGGCTTACCCGAGGGCGGCGCGCTCAGCGAGGGGGACTTGCTCGCAGGGGGCGCGGCGGGCATCGATGAAGCCGCCTTCTTCGACGAGTTGGGCGCGTTGGGCGCTGCAGGGGCCGGGGGCGCGCCGATTGCGCCCGGGCAGTGGAGCATGGCGGCTCTAGACGGCGAGGGCGAGCAGGCTACGGCGAGCACGGGCAGCAAGGGCGGCAAGGGCGAGACTGAGAAGCGCACGGTCGAAGAGAAGGCTTCCGAGGAGCAGCTCAGCCTCTTCAGTCAGGAGGGAGCCGAGGTCATGAAGGGGCGCCTGAAGTCCAAGCATCGTACTCCGTCGCTCGCATCAACGTGGGCCTCGGCCGCTCCAGAAAAGCAGAAGCCACCTCCATCCGAGAAGGCCGCCAAGAATATTGCGCCGCTGCAGCCGGCGAGCGTTCCTGGGGTGGTCGGCGCGCTGAAGGCTGCGCCAATCGAGAAGGGAACGCCTCCAGATGACGCCGCTCCTCCGAAAAGGCCCGCTGAGGCGAAGGATGAGGGTGAGAGAAAACAATTGAAGGCGGATGCGGCTGCAGCCGCTAAGATTTCTAAGGAGGATCGGATTCGGAATCTGAGGGGCGACTTCACCGACGAAAAGGATCGCACTGCATTTCTCAAGGGCCTCGGCGTTCCAGACGAGTTGATCCCCTCGGGCGACTTCTTCGGTGGGCAGCACAGCTGCACCATGAAGAACGAGAACGGGGCTGCGGCATAAGTGCAGATCCGCTCTGCAGCGTTCTTTGCGAAGAAGGTCGCTGGCAGGGAAAAGGTTGCGGGGAAACAGACGTTTTCGTGGTCCTCGGCTGGGCCTGAGACCACGTGGAAGGAGCTGCGCGCCAAGCTGGGCTGGGAGTGAGAGCCGCTGCTGGCCACCAGTCGCAGTCTGATCTGCAGAGTGTCGCTCCGATCGGCTTTAGAGGTGGTCTTGGATAACTTCTGGGGGGTCTGGGACATCCCAACTAATCCTCCTCTCCCTCCGCCGCCGCCTCCCCTCACCTGATCGCGTCACGTCATCGTGCCCCCCTGCCCCCCTCATCCTCCGCCACTTCCTCCTTGGACATCCTGGGGGCACCTTGGGCCAGGGGCACCTCTAGCAACGCCCGGATGACAGGCCGATCAAGCGGGACTCAGCCAGATCAAGCCTGATGTCGGACCGGGGCAAAGTCAGAATTCGACTTCCCAGGAGCTGCATCCGAAAACGCGCAACCCGTAGCGTGCTGACACGGAGCTCTGGCCATCGCTCGGACGTCCCTTCCCTGTGCTTCTTTTGGTTTCATGCGTGGTTTTTTCGCCAAGTGATCAAGGATGCTCCTCGATGGTCCTCGCCGAAGGAAAGATACACACGTCCGAGCGATGCCAAGAGCTCAGCACGTAGGCTGAACACTTACGTTCGAAGCGACGAAACGCTCGCAAGCACGTGGGCCACTTACGTGGAACCAACACGCAGCGTATCAGCACGGACGTTTTGAGCACGGTACGTCTTGCGTTTCAAAACGGAAGTACAGAGAGGACACAAAACCTTTCCGAGGGCCACATCGCCATAGGAGTGTAAGAAGGCACGTGTCGCGACGCACAAAACACAAATGTACCCTTGATTTGGCAGGGTCGACCCGCCGCACCAGCAGCCCAGTGCTCATAAGCGGCTGCCGGCGACCCTTCCCCCTCCCCCTCCCCCTCCTCCTTCTCCCCCTCTTCCTTTGGCGCCCGAGAGCGGGGGTCGAGTGCGAGGTCGGCGGCCATCGTCCACGATCCCGATCCCGATCTCAGCCCTCCTTTGGCGCTGGTCAGCCCCCGCGTGCGCCGCGCAGCCTCTGGGCTGGGGGGTCGAACCAGCGCCGTGGAGCCCCCCTCCCATCATGTTGAAAGCTGGGAAGCCCTCTCCCCGGCGGGTGCGGAGGTGCTTCCTCACGGGCGCAGGCAGTCAAGGAGTTGTGTCCTGTCCGTGCGGCCAATGGTCGGCTGTTCTCTTTTCGGAGAAAGCTACACGGCGGGTCAGCTCGAGTGAGGAACAGACGAGAGAGAGAGGGGGATGGAGCAGCTGGAGGAGAGTCCACGATACTGGTGTTGCGCGGGGGAGCGACGTTGACAAGAGCAGCTCGTGCGGACAATGCGATCGTGGCAGGTCCTTGCGCTGCAGCCGCTTACTTTCTCCAGGGTCTGGGCGTCCCAGACTCCATCAGATTTTCGCACGCGGGCTCACGCCCGCGGTTCTTCTAATTTGCTAGTTTTCGGCTCGAAGTGTTTGAATACATTTTATATTCGGCGGCGAGTGAGGAGGGGAAGTGAGAAGGAAAAGGCCTTCTCAGAAGGCGGCGGGACTTCTCAGAAGTCTTCGCGCCTTCTGAGAAGTTTTCTGCGTCTTCGGGGAAGGCTTACAAAACTTCTCACAAGACCGCGGGACTCCCTAGCCTTCTTAGAAGGCCCGCTCCTTCTCGCCTCCCCCCCGCGCTCGCCCCCCCGCGCTCGCCAACCCCTCTAGCCTTCTTCTGCATCTTGAGGGCCGCCAACCCACTCGACGCTCTCATGCGCTTGCCATGGGGTTGGGCGATGATGGGTTCCCATCGGCGGAATGAATTTCCCGCCGCAGCGCCTGGCGCGTCATCATGGCGATTGAGGCGCAGGAGAACGAGCGCGGCGGGAATACTGAATGCTAGTTTTGCGCCCCCAGCCCACGGACACAATGTTCTACTCCTGTAGCGTGAAGTCGGGCCTGTCCTCCTACAGGGGGACGTTGGACGAACAATCAACAAATACTCAAAAAAGATGCCCCCCCAATGGACGAAAAATGCTGATCAATTCGTCCCCTGACTATTTATTTTTATTTTTTTGTTTGAAGATTCCTCCTGTAGAGGGACGTGCCCGACCTAACTGTAGCGTGGACACCGTCGCGGCCGACCGGAGGGCCGCGGCGACGGCGAGGGCGCCCGCGCCGAGGACGGGGGGGGTAGCATTAAGTCGGGCCTGTCCCCCCAAAGGGGGATTTCAGAGCCCCGAATCATCAGGGGTAACTCGGGTCAGGGATAACTCAGGTTCGTTGTTCGGGATTCCGAACCCGAATTACCCCGGACCCGAGTTACCCCGGATAACTCGGGCGTCCAGAGCCCCACATCATCAGGGGTAACTCGGGTCAGGGCTAACTCGGGTTCCTTTTCCGGAAATCCAAACCCGAGTTACCCCGGACCCGAGTTACCCCGGATAACTCGGGCGCCCAAGGATTTTCGACAAAGAATTAAAAATACCCCCCAAAAAGTCAAAAAATAGTCCAAAAATAGTCTGGGGACTATTTTTTGGGTATTTTTTGACCCTTTGGGTGTATTTTTTTTTTTTGGTTCGTCGAAGATCCCCCTCCCCTGTAGGGGGACACGCCCGACTTAAGGGTAGCAGGCAATGGCACAGGCACAATCTAGGCTTATGATGTTCCAACCCGTCTTAGCCTGGATCGCCGGAAGGGGTTTCGAGCACCAAGGAGGTGCCGAGGCTCGAGGGTTTTCACGTGTCGGGCCCCGGGAGGCAGTCGCCCGACCTTGTTTCGACATTGTTTCGACATTCTTTCGAAACTTTTCCGGGTGCTCGAAATTATTTCTGGGATGTGTACCTTAAGTACGATGGGAGCAACATGAATCTAGGCTTCCTAAATGGGGTCGGAGTAGATGGGGCCGGAGGATCGCGCCGCATCGCCGCTGCATCGCCGATGCGGCTCGATGTGGAGCCCGATTTTCTCCACGCCAGCGTCGCCGATGCATCGCCGACGTCGCCAGTGCATCGCCGATGTATCGTCGATGTATCGCCGATGCATCGGCGATGCATCGGCGATGCTGTGAGATCCTCCGACCCCACCTGCTCCGACCCCATCTGGGAGTCCTCTACACAATGACTCGGAGGTCCGATATGCGTTCCGTCTGTGTCATGGCCCGTTTCCCTGGAGGACGGCCAGGAGGACGACCGCGGCGGCGGGTCCATGGGCCACGGGTGGGCGGGGGCGCCAGCGGTGGCGCTGCGGAACCAGCGCGGCCGACAGCGCAACCTTTGATGCCGTCGCCGGCCCCCGAGCATGTCCTGAGAGTAGTCGCCCCCCTCCTCGCACTGATTTTGCCCAAGCATCCTGTGGTGTTGTGTCTTCGTCTTGACGACACACGTGGGCTGTTTTTGCCCACGCATCCTGTGGCGTTGTGCCTTCCTTTGTTGGGGGCGACGTTATAAGTAGTTATAGGTTAGGTAAGTGGTTTTATTTTAGGAGAGGTTTGGACGAGTTAGGATTGGTTAGGATGGCCTATAAGTTTTATAGGAATGCTGATAGTGTAGTGCCCCATAGCCCCCCCAATGTTTCACTATAGGATCTATAGGAGCTTACAGTGCCCTATCATCAGCAACACTTGGAATCCCTAAACTTATGTTTTTTTTGTTCAATATCTTTATTATTGTTTCACTATTTTTTTCACTTCTTTGGTTAAGAAATATATGTTTCATTATTTTTCTATGTATCACTATTTGTTTACTATGTTTCACTATTTGTTCACGCAGCTGGAGAGCGGCGGTCTGCCGCTCTCCAGCTGCGGTCTCGAGCAGCAGTGTTCGAAAGCATGCGAGTTCCTGCGGTGCTTCTCAGCCTGCAGGTTTCGCAGCTTGCGCTCTGCAGTACAAGTGCTTTTCAGCATGCGACATCCTGCGGTGCTTCTCAGCCTGCAGGGTTCGCAGCGTGCGGTTTGCAATGCATTCCTTTTCAGTATGCGAGTTCCTGCGGTGTTTCTCAGGCTGCAGGGTTCCGAGGCTCTTCGTTTCGATGCCAATGTTTTCAGACACGTTAGCTCCGTTCCGTAAACATCTTCCAAGAGCCGCTCGCAACCTTTTTTTTTCTTTTGTTTTTTTTTGTTTTTTTTGTTTGTTTTTTTGTTGCTTTCTTTTTTTGTTTTTTTTTTTTTTGCAGCTTGCGGTCTGCAGACGTAGTTCTTCTCAGCATGCGAGCTCCCGCACGCTTCGCCGGCTTTTGCTGCGCGGACAATTTTCTCACACACGTCAGCGCCGTTTGTAGGCGTCAGAAAAACATGTACACATTCACGAAGGGCTCAGTGTGTATATCGTCACATCATTACATACGCAGTCGTCGAACACATCGGTGCACACTTTAGCGCTTTGTCCTTCTATAGCATTCTTTCCGTTGATAACAGTGTTATGATGGGTTCGCTTCGTTATAAAAGCGTTGATAGCAGTGTCTCGTTTGCGGACAACTCATTGCATATCAACTCACTGATACCGAGTTTCCTTTCACCATAAGTGAATGCATAGCAGTGTATGTTGGTTACTACAACCGACTTCATGATCGCTATCATCATCACAGATTTCAATCATCCTCATCACCACGACTGGTTCACGTTGGCCTGCGGTGCTTCTCAGCCTGCAGTTCCTTTGCTACACGCGTCTCCGCTGCGGTCGCCAGAAGTGTTCAGTTTGCAGAGACTTCTCGTGTTGATAGCCATGGGTCACTTCAGACACAGATCGTGTGTGAATCGGTTGATGGCAGTGCCTCGTTTAAACTCCACTTTAGTATGGAACTTGAATCGGTTGATGGCAGTGCCTCGTTTAAACTCAACTTTAGTATGGCTAGTAGTGTCAATCGCAGGGTTTCTTTTTAATTATATAAGTGTTGATAGCAGTGTCTCGTTTGTGGTTAGTTACAACAGTGGTGATAGCAGTGTCTCGTTTGCGGACAACTCTTCGTATATCAACTCACTGATACCGTCTTCCTTTCAGCATAAGTGAATGCATGGCAGTGTACGTTGGTTAATGGCACCGACTCCATGATCATCATCACCATCACCGATTTCCATCATCATCATCACCACGACTGGTGCACGTTGGCCTGCAGTGCTTCTCAGCCTGCAGATCCTTTGCTACACGCGTCTCCGCTGCGGTCGCCAGAAATGTCTAGTTTGCAGGGACTTCTCGTATTGGTAGCCATGGGTCACTTCAGACTGAAATTGTTTTGTGATGTTCTTTCATTGGTAGTTGAATCCGTTCATGGCAGTGACTCGTTTAAAATCAACTTTAGTATTGGTGGAAGTGTCGATAGCAGCGTTTCTTTTTAATTATACAAGCGTTGATAGCAGTGTCTCGTTTGTGGACAACTCATTGTATATCAACTCATTCATACAGAGTTTCCTTTTAGCAGCAAGTGAATGCACAGCAGTGTATCTTCATTACTGGCCCCCAATCCATTATCACTATCATCATCACCGATTTCCTACACGCGTGTGCGCGGCGGTCGCCAGAAGTGTATAGTTTGCAGAGACTTCTCGTATTGATAGCCATGGGTCATTCAGACTGAAATCATTTGTGATCTTCTTTTATTGGAAGTTGAATCGGTTGATGGCAGTGCCTCGTTTAAACTCATCTTTGGTATTGCTAGTAGTGTCAATGCCAGCGTTTCTTTTTCATTATACAAGCGTTGATAGCAGTGTCTCGTTTGTGGTTAGTTATAACAGCGTTGATAGCAGTGTCTCGTTTGCGGACAACTCATTGTACATCAACTCACTGATACCGTGTTTCCTATCATCACCATCATCATCATCCTTAACCTCCTCGTAGCCATTTTGCTTAGAGCTGTCCTGTTCTGTGCATGCCTTGCGCCGTGTGACCACGTGGCGCGGTGCTTCTCAGCCTGCGTAGTTCTTCCAGGTGTTCCTCGGTGTAGTAGCCATGGTGAAGAAATTCTTTTTGAAAACGAAAAAAGATGTGACCGGGAGGTTTTTACCCGCGGTCGTTCCCACCATGGAGAAGAAAGACTTGGCCACCCCGAGGAGTGCGACTATGGTTTGGCATTGCTCATTCCGTCCGCCCATGTTGTATTTCGTTTTCGTTGGGTTCTGCTTTGAGACATCTCCATACTTATTTAATTGTTTCGGGAGCGTTGTTCTGCGGGATTCTGGTGCATTGCTTCGTGCATTACAGGTTTTTTGTGGTGTGTTCATATTTCGGAAACATCGTTAATTATTTGGAAACTCCCGGGACAGCTTTCGACAAAGGGGTTGGCCGAAATCATTTTGGACAACTGCTCATTATCTATTTCGGATTGCGGATTTCAGGTCGCCGCCGTGCTGCGAGGAGAACGACTAGGCGCTCCAAGTACAATCGTCCTGTGAAGGTGTCGCTGCAGTTCAATGTCATATCTTCATTGTTACTGGGCCTAAAGACAGCAAGGAA